TTTTTTTATTGCATATTTCAAAAGTTTACCCTTTAATTAGTTAGTATGCCAAAAATCAATTTTTTGTTTCAACGAGAAATGTGTGAAATAAATTAATGAAAACAGAGCGCGGAAAAACGTTGAGCAACCATTGCCTGACGTCATAATACCGGTACGGGCGACTGGCAGAGCACTCCGCTCGCGCTCGCGCTCGCTCTCATCCCATTCTGTGTTAATACATACGGTGTGTGGTTCGCTTGGCAGTTTCGTTAATCATTGTTTTTATGTCTAAATGGGTCGAAACCGAGGATTGTACAAATATTGTATAGTTCCAGGCTGCAAAAGTACCTCAGGATCGACTCCGAATAAAATATTTATTTCATTACCGAAAAATGAAAAGTTTGTGTGATGTTATCCACGGTATCCCCAGCTACGGTATGCAACTCAAAACCACCTTCGTTTTTCTTTGGTTGCACGTCTAGGGGGTTGTAAAATATTATTATTTGAACATTTAGAGCACAATTTTCAACTTTATGCTGGAAAAAAATTCAACCCCATCTAAATATTCGTGATCACAAAAAATTCGAAATACGTCGGCGAGAGGGACCTATAAGCAGTTAAGAACTACTCTCGTTTTTCTTTGGTTGCCCATCTAGGGGGTTGTAAATACTATTATTTGAACATTTAGAGCAGAATTTTAAAATTTATGACGAAAAAAAATTTCTACCCCATCTAAACGTACCCGTTCATAAAAATTTCGAAATACGTCAGCGAGAGGGACCTATAAGCAACTCAGAACCACCCTCATATTTCTTTGGCTGTCCGTCTAGGGGGTTAAAAATATTATTATTTAAACATTAGAGGAGAATTTTCAAATTTATGCCGAAAAAAAAATTCCACTCCATCTAAACGTTCCCGTCCACAAAAATTTCGGAATACGTGGCGAAAAGGACCTATAAGCAATTTATTTAAATAATAATACACGTCGTCGCATACATCTACAAGTACCGAGTCTAGTACGTTGGGTACATTTGTACAAAAATGTAAAAAGAAAATGTAGAAAAGCGAACCATTTACGTCATTGAGAAAATCCGAAAATGTATTTGGGTATTCCAAGTCATTCTATGTTTATAATAAATATGTTGTGTGCGAAAAATGCATTTCAACAAGACTTGATGTATATCTCTTATACACTCTCTATTTATACACTTAAAAATATAGGTATATAATATAGGTAAAAGTATAGCAAATATCTACACATCTCTCCGAGTGCTCGCGACTTGATCGCCGAGTGGCCGGTATCGTGACGTCATTACCTGTTCTTCCGCAGTGTTGACCTTTTTAAGGGTCTTACAAATTCAGAATTAAATATATCACTTATTATTAATCTTATTAACCTAATTTTTTAAAGATATATTTAGGTGGTTAAATACCATCAGAAAATGAAAGAAAAAGTTTAAAATTATATATCACTGAATGGGCCTCAGTGAATTTTTGTTTTTAATTAATTTTATCATAAGTCCATCTTTCATGGATCAATCTAGTAAACATTTTTATAGATATTTGAGTAACTATTATATATTTTTAACTTCAACACTTTGGCCTATGTTTAATTATGGATTTTATGTTATTAAATAATCTCACCCTGTATATGGAAACCTACTTTCTGTTAATCATTGAGGACAACGAATGTTGAAATTTGTCGTCATTATTTGGGAGCCCAGTATGTAATAATCAAAATTCCTAGTTGTTAGCCTTGGAAGTCAACACTTTGTTATTGTCTGACATATTTTTTTTGCTGCATAACAACATATTGCTCATATATGATTCCTATTACAGGCTAATTTTTACAAAAGTCAAAGTTCTTTGAATTTTTACCTGTCAAGAAACGTTTTAATAGAGAAAGGGGCCACATGCCACGAATAAAAAATAGGAAAATATTATCACTATTTACTTAGCATTATTACGTTATTTATAAATTGTTTAATAAGCAGTGTACATTTATTTTGCTGCATGCATTTATTTAATTTACGTATTAGTTACGCAAACTGTGAAATAGCTTTTAATAACAATGTAATATTAAAAAAATATTGATTAAAGAAAAGAATTACATGTAGAATATTAATATTCAAAATCGATATGATCCATAGAATGAATGTAAATAAATATAAATGTTATTACAAAGAAGTATATTAATTTATGTTTATCAATTTGTAAACGTTCTGCATTTTTAATTAATTGATGGACCATATCTACGAGACTAATAACATTAATATTTTTGCATGTGGTACCTACCATAACGCTTTGTAACATCGCTATCGGAAACATTCCAAAATTCTGCAAATAAATAGTACCCCATGACTTTTTGTAAATATTAATTACTTGAAAATATACATATAAGCAAATGTCGAGAATAATGTACCATAAATTCTAGGACTAATAGAATATTAAAAAACAAGAAGACTTTTTGCTAGTATGGGTATATCGTATTTTGTATTCAAAACACAGTGCGTACAGTTGATGCTTTCAATCAAATTTTTCCAATATGTATTTTCAGAGGCTTTAATAAATAGATTTACGTGATTAATTTTCAATTAATTCTATAAAACGTTTGTTATGCTATAAACTAGGAATATTGTGAGTAGCAATTAATTATTTTGGGACGATTTTCTTATATACGAGGTATATTCAGAAAATAAGCGAACTTTATTTATTAAACTTTATTATTAATTTTATACACAATTGGTCCTTGTCAGCTTTGTCTCCTTCAAAGTATTCCTTTCGCCTATTCATACACTTTTCCCAGCGGTGTTTCCATTTCGCCTAGCCAGACCTGGATAGCTTCATCTGAAATGACCTTTAAAGTCTGTATCGAATCTGCTTTGGTGTTATCAATAGTCTGAAAACGGCGTTCTTTCAGCACTGATTTTTAATTTCGGAAATAAGAAAAACTCGCAAGGAGCCAGATCTGGCGAGTAAGGAGGGCGAGGGAGGACAATAATCTGATTTTTGGCACAAAACTGACGAATTGACAAAGCAGAGTGTGCGGTGCATTGTCATGATGCAAGAACTCTGGTCTGTTTTTGCGGAATTTTTCACGTAACCATTGTAAAACGCCTTGGTAGTACACACGGTTCACTGTTTCACATTGAGGCAATATCTAAATGCACAATTCCATTAATATAAAAAAAAAAACAGGGAGCATCATTTTGACATTGGATCGAGACTGACATGCTTTCTTCTGGCGTGGATATGATCGAACTTTGTCTCAATGTTGTAGCCGTAAATACAGCTTTCGTCTGATCCGTCATGATCTTTTGAATGAATGTTTCATTGTCATCGGATTTTTCAAGGAATTGCCGGCAAACGTCCACACGATGTTGACTTCTTTTGCAAATTCTCTGGAAGTCAATCGGCGATTTGCACGCATCAGATCTTTGACTTTCTGAACGTGGGAGCCATCAATTGAAGTCGAAAGCCTGGTCGAGGAAGTATCAACAATCCAAGAACGCAATGCTGCCAACCGCATGGCACTAAATATCTCCATTAGCGCGTAATTCAAAAAGTTATTTTCTGAACAGACCTCGTCCTTTTTTAATATACACAAAAGTTGTATTTTTGATAAAATTCCGTAAATCGTTTCGTATTCGAAAAAGAGCCCAAAAATTTTAGGTGGTCTGCCAGTTAAGGGAAAGAAGGACAATTGTGTGCAAATTTCTTCAATTGTCTTTAACACACTACTGATATTAAGGAAATATTTGTATCTATTGATTGTTGTATATGTTCTGTCAATTACACAGGCCAACAAGGAAAAAATTCCAGAGATCAGACACTGCGTTTCCGAAGGCATTTGGCGCGCTGAATCCGAATCTGGCCTCAGAATTGATCCATCACCCTAGGTTTCCGAGATATTCTAACCTAAAAGTGCAAAAAACACGTATTTTTGCTATTTTCAAGGTTATGTAACTTTTTCAAAACTGAAAATATTATTGGAAACTACTATCTTTCCCCTTCAAAACGCATTTTTTTATTTGTAAAAAGCTTTATTTTTCGCGGAGATATCGTCGATTAAAGATGATCAGTATAGCTACCTTATTAAACCATGGCTCGACCTATAACACCATTAATGGGTATTATGGGTTATTGGGTAATAGGGCTTGAAGTTAATCTTCCTGACGATTAGGGCTCACAGCGCTTAGTGTTGTGGGGTTATAGGGGAAAGATAGTCGTTTCCAATGATGTTTTCAGTTTTTCGCCAAGTTACATAACCTTGAATATAGCAAAAGTACGTGTTTTTTGCACTTTTAGGTTAGAATATCTCGGAAACCTAGGGTGATGGATCAATTCTGAGGCCAGATTCGGATTCCGCGCCAAATGCCTTCGGAAGCGTAGTGTCTGATCTCTGGAATTTTTTTTTTTGAAATTTTGTCGGCATGTGTTATCTTTTTGGCCGGTTCAAATTCAGAGCATCACACGTTGGTTTAATATTTCACAAAATTGTTAACTTAATATTTTAATTCAGATTATTTAAAGAAATATATATTCCCTAGAATATCTGGAATTATGAGTGAAATTAATTTTTATTTAAATCAAAAATAAAATAGCTCAAAAAAGTTTTCGCTATCTACCCCGTTTCCGTGACTTGTATATAGAAAAATCGTCCAGAGTTTATACAGCATCTCTAATGAATGGTACATTGTAATAAAATCATATAAAGGCCTCAAAACTGAAACCTCAAAAAATATGTGCCCTAAAACATGTTATAAGCAAAAATCGTCTCAATTTTTAAATGTTAATTAAGTATTTTTAAGATTTGTCGCATTATTATTTTGAAATACATTGACTGTGATGGAAAACTGTACATTTCATTGTCCCTTAATTATTTTTTATATACGTATTGCAATGGGATTGATACAATAGGTAACAAAAACTGATTTGAAATGAATATCGAATTTTTACTAGGAACTTCCATTCACACAAAATTTTAATTTACTTCATGTCTGCAAAACAACTAATTCAGCGAAAACTGAAAAAGAAACATTATTTTTAAGATATACATAAAATAAAATATTTAAATATTATCGTCTTATTTTCTCTTGTTTCAAATTAAACCACTTGATTCTCATTTAGTGATATATCTAGGTTAATATATTGTAAAATCCGTTCAAAATTAGCCTTGTGGACAAAACTAAGAAAGATAATTATTTTTACATACCGTATCTCTTAGTGGGGTCATTTATTTTCCTAAGCTTTCCGAGATAGCCGGCTTGGATTTCGTTTGGAGTGGCTATTTTGGTGCATATTTCAGGATAACTCAGGAGTCCCGCTTCATTTGTATAAGGTCCTGCCTCGCCTGGGCCGTCTATGGGAAGAGGAGGTACTCCAGTTAGGCCAGAGTCGTCGTCCATTTTCCATGCTCTTCCGTACGTTGAAATGCCGAAAATTACCTTGTTGCTTGGGCAACCGTTCTGTATCCTAGCGTAGAAAAATAATGTTTTATGTTTTTACATAGACACTGCTAAATAATTTTTATATGTGTACTTAAATTCGTATTACATACTAACAAAAATATAACAGAAAATAATGACTGCCTAACATTTGATAGAAGATTCGTATCGAACTCTGTTTATTTAAATTTCATACTAGTTAAAAAATGAGAATTGTTATGCTCAAATTTTGGGAACATAAATTAGAATCGACATTAAAGAGAACAAATATAGTGGAGTGTAGAGGCTTCAGATTCGGCTAGAGGGTAGAGACAGGACAAGCAATTATGCCTGCACATCGTCGTACAAACCGTTTTCAGATGTAGATTTCTCTTCTTTCTTAGAAGACAAAAACACAACATTTTTTATAAAAAGTACTTCTAAGCAATTTAAATTTACCTTCCGTTTTAGTTTTTATGTCAACAAGAGATGGCGAAATATGGTCAGTCGGTAACACATGGCACTTCTAGCGTTCTATGTTATGGGTTGTTCTAGGCTCTATTTGAATGTGAAGCCTCGACACTTCACTATGTTGGTATTCTAAAGCTAATAATCGCAAAGTAGTAGGATCCATCTTTATCTGTTTCGGCGTTAGATTTAAAGATTTAAATTTGTGAATCAAATAAAAACTCATCTTAGTCAATAAAAAACTTTTGTTATTCGTGGTGGTCTGTTGAATGGCCACCTAGGTTACTCGACCATAATTCTCCATATTTTTAATTCCAGAGGTATGTACACGAGATATTTAGTGCACCTACATAGAAATTAATAGAGCATATTCAGGAGATTGCTCAACAATTAAACAAACGTGAAATACGAATCGTTACTTCATCAATCAGCTTGTATTCGGCAAGGAGGAGGCCATTTTGAAAATATCCATTAAACATTTATGAAATAAAATAAGTTTTTATTTGGTTTACAGATTTAAATAAGTACATTTCGTAATTTTATAGGGCTGTATAACTTCCGGACAAATAAAGATCGACCGACAATTTTTGTGTTTCTAGATTTTGAATTTTTGAATTTATGCTCTTAATATTTGAATATACGACAATACCAAATAAGAAAAAAATATATGATTTTAGGGAAAGACATTTTTTTTTTCAATAATTGTCTTGCTTATTACTTTATTTTGATTGAATTTAGATTTCCAAAAAAAATTAATAATTAAAACAAAATCGAAAAGTGGCCATTCATATAATTGTCTTTTGTTTTTATTTCAAACCATAGTATGCTTATATTCACAAATCAAACAGTCAAACATTACAAATAATAGAAAAATTAGAAATAAAATTTTGTTCCACTTGGTATGTGAAAAAATAACAATAACAATGTAATTATTCTTATTCTTTTAGGACCGACGGCGACGTGAGTAAAGGTATTACCAAACCTACATAAAATCTGCGCGAATTTTCTTTTCAGTAGAATTAATAGTAACTTCATAATAAATTCTAACTGAAGTTACAAATAAAAACACTACACTTAAATAACTTCAAAAAGAAATAAAAAATTGACATTATTTTTTATAGTGCAATGTTAGTAGATTTTGGTCAATAATTCCCATATCTATGATTAGAGAGTGAATGTGTACATATGTTTTAGTTGCAGTTATCACTCGCTATATACGTCCAGCGAAAACCATTTATCAAAATTACAAATATATTTACAGGTACATTACTTTTTTTGAAGTCCATCCATATGCACATTTTCAGAATGTATTTATACATGCGTATCAACAAAATGAGAGTATACCAGTCATGTGCCAAGAAATTTGTTTAAAATATAACATTTTTTATAATATAGGTTAAAGCACATTCAATGATAGCGATAGTAGTAGTGAAAGTGAGGATTTAATACGGTTAAATTTTAGATAATTGTGGGTAGGGAACACCTTTATGCTTTCAGAGGCTGGTAAATTTATAAATACAATAAAAACCAAAAGTGGACTATTTAGTTATATTTGTTGTATGTAAGTAGATACATACGTTTGTAACAAATATGTATATATATATATATATATATATACAGGGTGTTTCATAAAGACCTCTAGTAAATTCAGAGGGTGATAGTACGACAAAAAATAAGAATTGTTTGTCTTATGAACTGTATGTCTATCTCCTCTTGTTTTCGAGATACGGAGCGACAAAATACAATTTTTTAAATAGAATTTTTACGAACATTTCCAAACGGCGCGAAATATTTTTATGAAATTTGGTATTCCGGGGTTTTTAAGGATGCCAAATACGCTGGTCTAATTATTTTTTGAATATTTCATAGAGGGCGCTAGTTATGCTAATTTTTTTAAGGTTATTTTTTTTTTACCATTCGGGCTCCAATTTCTAATGTACAATTTTATTTTCTAAAAATAATGTACATGTAATATTGTTAGAACTTCATAATGTGAACGGTTTTCGAGAAAGAAGGCTTTCATTTGAACTCCTACAGTATTACGGTGTATAAAATAAGTGACTTTTCTCAAAGTAGGCTTATGTCAAAACTTATTGATGGATGTCTCATAAACAAGGCATACATTCTTAGTAATATTTTAAACTCTAATTAACTTTATATCAAAATTTTAGTGATTGTTAGTGACTGTAGTTAGTAATGACTAATTACAGTCACTAAAATTTTGATACAAAGTTAATTAGAGTTTAAAATATTACTAAGAATGTATGCGTTGTTTATGAGACATCCATCAATAATTTTTGACATAAGCCTACTTTGAGAAAAGTCACTTATTTTATATTCTTTATATTCTATATTCTCTATGTTACAGATCCTATACATATAATTTCGTGTGACCAACTGGATAAATAAAGTTCGGAAAACGCATTTTTTTACGTGTAGTAAAATGATACGATTCTTTTGGAGTCAATGTGTATCTATTATTGGTTTAAAAATAATTAAAAATTTAAATGTACTAGCATAGAGTGAATTACTAAACCAGTTCTAATTAAATTTGACATAATGCGGATATATAACTATTGCTTTGATGAAAAATGTATGCAGTTTTTTACACTTTCAAATGTTACATAAAGATGATGAACGTCATCTAAGGTGATAGAACACTGCCAATGAAAAATAACACACACCAACCTGTTTGTTCATGAAACAAGAAGCTATATATCTTTTAGAAAGTATATCGACCCTGTTTTGCGGTTCAAGAGAAACTTTTTTTACATCTAAATGATAAAAAGTATAGTAAATTTAAACCGTGAGATACAATGATTTGTAAAATATGATGAAGGCATCGTCTTTACTTACCAATATCTAACTTGATAATCTCCATTTTCATCGACTTTTCTGTCGATCAACTCATACAGAGGAGCAGAATAGTCGGCTTCTTTTGGATTACGCTCAGGATTATAAAAGTCGTAGGGGTGTAGGATCACGAAATCTACATTGGGGGCAATCTGGCGAGGGTCATAGTACACTGAAACAGTAGTTTACTATTATAAGTCGTCCATTTAGATCATCAGAATAAATATACCTGTGCTGTTGACGTTTGGAAGCACAGAGAGTGTCAACAAAAGACCGTCGTGTCTAAAGGAATTTTTTATTTCTCTGACCAAAGTTGTGAATTGTTCTTTATGTTCGTCTGCCTTCTCGTCAATCACTGATTCTCCCACAATTTTATGTTTCAAGTTGACGAAAAAACTTTCTGAAATAAAGGTTATACATATACATTATGCATATAATAAAATATATACATAGTATTTATTTATGTTGACTATTAGAAAACAAGACTTACTGAAGCTGCTGCGAATTTTCTTTGGTTTAGTCTCAGGGAATTCCCAGGCGAGATCCAGGCCGTCAAATCCATAATGTTTGACGACATCTTTAGCGGAATTAATGAAAGATAGGCGATGGTCGACTGATTCTAACTGAAATGATCCAAACGATATAAATTCACTACAAAGTAATAGCACCATGAGAAGATTGAGAAATGATTTATTTTCATACAAACAATTCTACAATTTAGTCATACAAATAAATTAAATACATGTTGCGGGTGAATTATTCTGGTAAATCCTATCTAACATGAATCATACTTCTGACTTTACGATTGAGCATTTGTAGTAAGCAACGAACAGTAATTAAAAATTAAATAATTAATCTTTAAAAAATCGGTTCGTTTTTTTATAGAAAAAAGTTTAATTGACTGAATATTCTGACATTAATAATAAAATATATTAAATATATAAATAAATTTACGAAACAAAAAGCAAAAAGTTATACATGTAACAGCGATGTTGCGATGAACACTCAAAACAGACCTATCTCGTAAAAACAAAAAAAAAAAGAACTAGGATAGGTAATATTTTCTTTTAGGGCTCTATGATCTTTCAAAGATTAGAAGTGAAATATTGTTTTTGTTCAAAGATTAAAAAACTGTTGATTTATATGAACTTAAAACTTAATATAATCCTATTTTTTCAAAGTAGCTATTTACATAATTTGAACAAAAATAAGTTAGTGGTATTGAAATTAGGAGCCGTTTGTTTGTATTTTAACTATAAAAAAGTTATTTGTGGTTAAAGAGAGCTTTCTTGCACATATTTGGATAGATAGATTTTGGTTTCCAATCAAAATTATTAAGTCTTTTTGAGTTTTTTTTCAATTCACTGTTAAAAGTCCAAAAGATATGACAATTTAGAAGTATTCCGGGTAGCAGCGTAAGTCAAAGATCAGAATAAATTAAGGTTTTACATAAATTCGCATTTATTGAATGAAGGGCAGTCAGGTGGTTTTTAACCTTGCTATAAATACAGACTGTTGAGAATTTAGGGTAAAACAGCTGCCTGTAATTTTTTATTCATGGTCTGATGCTAACTAGCAGGGCTTCAGATTTACTCATATGGAAAAATTTCAAGGTGTAAAAATTTGACTGGAGTTGAATATGAAAGGAGATTCTCTTTAATGGCAAAAATATTTTTTCCCAACTGAAACCTCTCAAATTCAGAACCTTGTATACAAATCAGAAAATTGTACTGCTTTTTTTTACTATTCTTGTATTTTTCATGGCTTGTTTTTTTTACTTTTATTCCTGCCCACATTCTGTTAATTGTCTTCTATTAAACCAAAAAATAATCATGTTTATTACATTTGACAACCTGTACATATTCTTGCTCACTTCTCACCCCTACACTAATTTTCTGCGGACACCCATGAAGATGCGTTACCCATATCACGTTTACATGTAGAACGGAAGGTTAATAAAGTCATTACATCCAAAAATTTGCAAGTTAAAAAGAGTTCAAGGCCTGCTATGTTATCGTTTTAGAATATAAATTAATCTCAATGATTCCACATGTGCTCTTACCACAGTCCTGTAAATCATGTTCTTTTCGCTGCCTTCTCCCGAAACATCATTGCCTCCACCAACTGAAAGAAGGACTCTAAGTCCGGGGAATCTTCTCTTCAATTCCGTGACATGTCTGTAGTTGTCCTTGTTGATGTCCAACTGTTCGTTGAGAGGAACCAATTTGTTGTTATCTGGGTTTATGCCCGCACTACCGTAGACTAAATGGGAGCAAAACTGGAGCGCTGGTTCCAAGAATGGCAATTCAAATTTGCCTTGACCTGAAAGGTAAAACTTTTTTATTTTTGGAATGTTTAAATAAGATTTTTTTCACTTTGTTGTGAATTGCTCTTTGCACCATTATTTGGGTGCAACATAATTGAATTAATTCAGCATGAAAAAGCGATTATGTTGTTATAAGTTATTGTTATTATTAATAACATACGAAGTAAAAAACGTGGTTTGTCCTGGAACCTACACCACCCTATCCCTATGTATTTTGAACTGCTCAACACGAATATGAAGTCGGTTTTCACTAGTCACACTGTGACTATTTTTCCTAAACCTTAAAAAATCGTTGAAATCATACATTTTGAGGTTCGAAACACAGTAATGAAACTGGCATGGAACTAATAGGCCACATGCATTATTCCTATAATTTTGACCTGCCGATTAAGAAATTGAAGTTAGTTTTGCAGTTAGTTTTGTAACTTTAAGGTTCGAAAAAAAACATGATCTGATTAATGAAAACTGATTGCAAATTAGTATTCAAAGGATCGAAATATATGATACGGCAGTCTAGTCACCAGGACAAATTACTTTTTTTTTTAAATGTTGTGTACCTACTTTATTATGATAGTAAGAATTATAACATAATAAATCTGTGCTTGTACAGATTTTTGTTTACCATTTTTTGAATTTAGTATTTCATTGTAGCATATTACGTAATAATGGGATTATTTGAATTTACCTTATTTCACGGTCATTTCTAAGAATTAATAATCTTAGTCAAGGTAATCCAGAGCAGAAATAAAAATTAATTGTTTTTCTAGTAAACCAATTATGTCTGTAACTATACAAAATGTATCAAAATGATATTAAATGTACCTACAGGGTCATTACGCGAAAATTAGATTCGTTCTTGACTCCCTTGTCTTTATCATTATCCACTTATCTTTCCTGATTAAATGATATCTACTTTTTATATTTGAACAATTCAGGACTACAATATTAAGGGCGTTTTTCTTAACGAACTGTGCATTCTTTAATGACAGAGTGAACCAAGTGGGGTAACTTAAGCGAGTACGAAATGACAAAATTTCTGTATTTCAAAACGGTAGATTTTATTGATTTCTAACAATTATACCTTTTTTATTTAGAATTGAACGTAGTTCAATAATTCTAGTTAAAAAATTCAAAATTGTAAAATACAAAAAGTTAGACATATTTTTACATTGATAGGATAGTATAACTAGCGCCCCCTAGATGTGACCCCAACACTGTTTGCATGTTCGTATTTGCCACCTCAACAAACATAAAACTACAAATTTTCAAAACAATCGATCCATACATACTTAAAATGTAGCAAAAAATCGAAAATATTTTTTTAACTTTAACACCCTGTAGAACGAAAAGGAGCAACAATTGACTAAGGCATATTTGGCTCAATCGCTATATTTTGACGTTAACAATCTGCCATTAAGCTGTGTACCATTATTAATGATTCACCCTGTATATTATTTGCAATGCAAAAACGAAAACTTAATTATTTAAATAGTAAAAAATTTCCGTGAATTATGTAAGGGTAACTTTTACTATTTGGCAAGTGAATAAACAAATTCCTTACATTAGGATACATATTTTTGATTTTTGTGTACAAAATTACGGTAAGAAGTAGTGGTATCATTAATACCCAAATGAAATAGCAGTTCTTTGCTAAAATAATGTTGAAAACCTGAATTAAAAAATTTGTTAAATAAATTTTATTATTTCAGAAATCGGGGAATGTGACCAAAAAAATCAAACACAGTTTTTGTCTTTGAATGTGCTAAAGAAATAATATTTTTTTTCTTATTACAATCTCTAAGCATCGCCTTGTCTTGGTCGTGACTATATTTTAATTTTTTTATTTACTTAACACTCTTTATTAATCATATAAATATTACTTTTGATAAACGAGTATATGTTTTGGTAACACAGGTCAAAAATCAGAAGATAGTTCTTACAAACAATTCAATATATAAATGGAAATATTTTATCATATAAAGTTATCTTATTCCTTGTCGCTCGTCTTTCCATATATCCTTGTAGATGCTGAATGTCAGATTTATCGTCTAGTTGACTTTGGCCTAAATATTTCTAAATAAACCCTTTGGGATTAATTTTAACTGTTACAAAATGGTTTAATCAAATTAAGATATTTTCTCTTAATCTATATAGAAAATATTTTATAATTGCTTGTAGCTGTAGAATTTTATTTTCTAAATATTTTTTTTATAAGTACACAAACATTGTTTAAAACAGATAATTATGTAGATTTAAAGTTTCTATAGTTTTTAATTTTTAGAGAAAAATGTAATTTATTATTTTGAATAAACTTATTTCAACTATATCTTATTGTAGGTATGTGATAAAAAAACAAATAAATTTTGTGAGAGGAATTAAATAAGTACCCTAGCTACTTAATACTGTTATACTTAGCTTCCTTTTTCTATAAAATCATACCTGTTCTGAGGGTTGATCTGCTGTCATAGTAACACACCACCTTGTCGGCCTTAACATAGCCACCAAACGCAAAAAGTGTTAACAAAATTATTTTTAACGTATCCATCACAGTTCTGTGGTAATGGAAAATACTGACTGAATAGAATGGAAGACTTTGCACTGAGAGGTGTCGATCTGTTTAGCCGAACTTGCGCGTGAGTTTGAGGGGGAATTGAATAGGAGAAATGTTATTTGTTAAATTTTTAAATTCGTTCTAAGAAGCCATTGTTGCGATAAAATATTGTGATTCCCGTACTATAATTATTATTGTATGTTAACTACCTGTGGTCACCACTGTTTCTTGTGACAAACAATGCGATGTAAATTCCTTTTTGGCTATTGTAATCAGTTACATCAGTTTTTCTTTTTTAAACAGAGCCAATAAATTAATATTTGTTGTTGAATAGAGTCATAACAACAATTTTATTTTATGGATTTTCGTTAGTATTGTTTCAGAGAAAAATTAAAAATAAAATCCGAAATACTTCGTATGTAATATCACTAATTTTAAGCAAAAATGATTATGTCCGCTTTTCCCGAATTCCCAGTGGTCCTTGAAATATCGGGGTTAGAAGTTGTCAGGTCGTACGGGTAGCCGCTAAGGAGTAAATTACATTGTTACAACTAGAGGGCTTAGAAAAAAATTTGCTTAATTTTAATAAAAGCGTAATGACAGTGTAATTATAAAAACAGCTCAATGTAACCACCGCCTTATGCAATGCATAACTCAACCCTCTGTCGAAGCTCTCATTCCCAGTTGTAGTTCTTCATATTGTTTTTCACTTCATCAAATGCTGTATGAATCTTCTCAATGAGTTGGTTCTTGCAATTAGGCTTTCCAACTGAATAGGTAAGAGTCTTCACATGTCCACACATGAACAAGGCCAACGGGTTACGATCCGGAGGTCACGACCTATTCATCGATTTGGATACTTTTCATTGAGGAAATTAGTGACACCTCTTACATAATGGGATGGAGCACCATCATATAAAAAGAACATTGTCCTTCTGATTTGAAAGTAGTAGAGGTAGATTGTAAAAAAGCCCGGTACATCCAGCTGTTCAAATTGCTATCGATGAAATGTTGTCCGATAACTTCATTCCAGCCCAAACGTTTGCGGAGAATCTTCCCTGAAAATGGGTTTTCGATTACCCAAACACGATCGTTGTGAAAATTGTTGATTCCATCTCTTGTAAATGTAGCTTCGTCACAGAAAAGGGTTCTTGAAAGAGTACCCAGATGATTGTCCACCATTTACAAAGACGAACTTGGGAAGATCAGTGGGTAGAAGTTCTTGTACCGGTTGGTAATGATAGGGATGCAGTCCATTTTCTCGCAATGTACACAACCGTCCTACTTCGTCCAGTAAATACAGAAATTCTTCTTGTACTAGTACCAGGATCATTTTCAATAAGCTCAAGCACTTCTGCAGCATTGTTTCTTCGTATAACTTATCTTTCACAAGTCAGGGAACGCATCTGTTAATCGAAAAGTTACGAAGGTTCTATAGAACGTTTGCTTGTCTGGAGGACGGCGGTTTGGATATCATCGTTAATATTCCCTACCTGAAGCGATGGTAGTACCATTGCAATATTCATACACGAAAATCATGTCCGCGTATTCTTCATTTGAATAAATTAAAGGCATGATTTTAATACAAATGACGCAAAAAATAAAAATGATAATTAACGAACTGACAAATCAACAATTTTTTTCTAATCCCAATCAAGCTGCAAATTATTAAATTACCTAGCCCTCTAGTCGCTACAATGTAATTTATTCTTTAGCAACTATCCATATCATCTGGCAACTTTAAACCTCGATATTTTAAGAACCGTTCGGAATTCGGGAAATGTTAATAAAATCATTTTTGCTTAAAATTTATGTATTGTTTCCTATATTCGTTCACATTTATACCTATTTGTCTAAAAGTGGTTACAAATAAAATTACTGCAACCTTTATTCGAAATGAATATCATGCGTCTGTGTTATTGAGGTAATGTAGAAGAATACAAGCGACAATTTTGATATTTTTTTTTATATTTTTATTTGAAACATTCTGCACTGTTGACATGCACTACTAAAAGTGCACCGATTTAATCGAAAGTGTAGTCAATTCTATGATTCTAAATAAAACGGCTTACATCAAGTTATGATCAAACTGCAGTAACCAAGCTACAATACATATTGATCACAAAGCTTTCATTTATGTAATTATCATAAATTCGAACCAACTTCTTTATTTGTTTTATTAAAGAGGATATGTATGCATTTCTTAAATATTTTTCTTCTTATTTTACGTGTTACAAAAATAAATTAAAAACAACTTAAACTGAAGTAGGTAAAACAATTAACAATATTACATAATAATGATGTCTTTATTTTTACCTCTTAATTGTGAAAAATTGGAAATCAGTCCGTGTCCGCTATAAATGACATTTTGAATGACTACCTAATAAGTTCATTCCTTAAATACAAAGACAATTAACTACTTTAAATATACTTTAAATAAATACCAAAAATACAGGATTTTCCTTGAATGATAACAAAGAATTTAAGAATTTCACTGTGAGGTAGGTATTTTTAAATTAATATTTAGACATACCTAACATTTTTGATTATTATTCTGGATAATTAATAATTACTAGTTGTTTACTATATTTCAGTGCTAGTTGAGGCATGTAGCTCATAAAGAAAATAGTTGTTTCCCTCAATATGAACAATTAGGAATCTTGTTGTGAGGTTGGATATCTTTCGTATGTCTAGATTTTTTATTTCGAAGAACATTGTTTGACATTATTTTAAAGAATTAAATAAAACTGTTGACTTTATTTGAATTAGCTTAATACTTTTATCACTAAAAATATGAGATCTAATAATAAAATACACATATTTAAAGGTTCTTTAGGAACGAAATCTAACATGCCAGCACTTTTATAAACTGTGTTATCAAATTGCGAACGAATTTTGAAAATTATTTTTTTTTCTGTCTTCTGGAGGGTTACAATCGATCTATAGTGATAAGGCGTATAAATGTCCTCCATCTTTAGTCCAATTTTCATTAACGCACATTGAATGGTTCAGATTAATTAACTGAGTTCGATTTTTGTTTCTTTATTTAACCCTACGTCAGTACCGCTGGCTGCATGGATAACTTCACTCGAATCGAAATAGTGCTGATTTTTTTTTAGGTTAATTTAGAGTAGTAAAATGTTCTGTTTTTATGACATGATTCTTCTAAGAACTTTCTATACTTTCCAGCATTTTGTTTGTTGTGTATACTAATTTAAAAAAACACAAGTCACAAAAATGGTGGCAGAAGTACATCCGACTCTTTTACCTATGCTCTCTTATAGATAGAAAACTGTGTGTACTTAGAAAAAAAATAGTTTTGTAAGCAGAACTGTAAGTTTACTGTCAGGCAACATTTGCAAAATATCATTACTCAGTGTTCTTATTCAATCAAGCAATTTGCAACATGGGTGGATAAATAATAGAACTGAGTCACTTATCTCAAATGAAACCGGTATCGGTACCACCGAATAACATCGTTATTGGATAACTGCTAAGATTGTTCAATTACTCCAGTTATTATTAGTCATTATTAATTCAAGGTAAGATCGAGGTGACTTGGCCACGGATTGGAAGTAACGATTAATTCATTAAATGACAAACAATATAAAACTGGTTAAAAATAGTTGCATTTTATAAAACAACACGGAATTTATTTTTACGTGTTAATGTGTTGCACATGAATATTTTTCTTAATAAATAAAAATTTTTTGTTTAGTATTGACAAAAACTATTGTAAATATACATAAATTAAATTAGTTGAGTTTCTGCAAATGGAGGATGTTCTAATTATTGCGTATACATACAACTAGAAACCTTGTACAGAGACTGCATACAATCTCTATTACAAAATGTTTCTTTTCGGAATCAGTAAAAGATTTTAGTTTATTACAAAATTACAAAAAATAATAACAATAATAGGTATAATAACAATTCTTCAACAATTTGATTTATTTAAATTTATGAATTTAAATTATGTCTTAATTTGTATACAGCGTGTCCCACTAGTGCGGGAATGTCCAATATCTATGTTAAAATGAGGAATATATGGATTTTTCTTTTTATTGTGTTGTCACATTTCTTGGAATGTACAAATTAAAAATATATTCAACTATGCAGGGTGTTCCACTTTTCCTGTCCAGACACCAACTTTGGTTTTTTAAATGGAAACACACATTTTTTATATTTTTTTCGGATTCTACATAAAAAATAAAGGGTACTTTGTGTAGAATAGTTCTATTCAAATATTCACAGTTTTTGACATATCTCGCTTGAAAGGTTTTTCTAGTCGATATTGGTTGCTTACATTTTCTGATACTGACAGGTTATACTAATAGCTACTAAGCCCATTTTTTTATTAGATGTTTAGTAAGGATGACTCTTTCGAATCATGCTCCAAAAACTGGCCTGCGTTATACAGGGTGACCAAAATATCATGTCAAAATTGCCATATATTTTCATACCATGAGATGCAGAATTAAATTCTCTACAACTTTGCTATACCTGCTACTACACCAAATTCATTAGTTTTTCATGAAATCTCATTTCTATGAAAAAATGCGAAGTTTACAAATAGCTTATATGTAAAATAACGTAGTAGGCTCCTGTCAAATGATAATCTGGAAAATTTTCGATTCACACAAGATTTAATAGAAAAGCGACAGTAATAATTGT